GTATGTCATCCCCACCGATATGCCTTTTGTGGTCGCTGGGGATTTTAACACGGACATTCGCCAGCTCGATGTGTTTCCCAATTTCCGTCAGCTAGGCTGCCAAGAAATGTTTGAGTTCCACCGCAATGCTTTTGGCTTCGAACTCCCTCCTACATGCAAGGGAGCAACTAGGTACGATTCCATGATTATCCACCCATTTTTACTCAAATACATTCGTCGCATTGAAGTAGGGCCAGAACATCAATTCGCTGACCATCGACATGTTCATATGCATCTCGATATTCCCACCAAGACAGTCAAGGCATTTACATGGTTCGTACCCAAATCATGGACCATCTTTTCCATAGAGCCTAATACCTTTGATGCATGTTATCAACAACTCCGCCGACCGTCCACCGGGCCTCATGTATCACCGGCTTCACTAGACGAAGTTACCAGTTCCCTTTTTCGTTGGTCCTCACAAGTCGAAAAAGCCGCCGATCACTGTCTTCGTCAACAGCAACGAATCGACCCAGTTCGTAATCCTCAAGGCTTTTTGCCATACCGGGGACGATGTGCCACACCACGCCTGATTCGTGCATCCTGTCCAAAAACCCCGAAAAGGGACCAGGCCAGCTACTATGAGCCCCCTTGTGAGGTCACATCGCTCAAAAGCCGTCTCAAAGTGCGACAAACACGTCGCCTTCGTCATATGGAACAATTGTACCGCAAATATCATATGCAACATCTACCTATGGAGCAGTGGCCCGATCTTCCTTCCACACAGCCTCTTTTACTACTATGGCAAGCCATTCGTACTGCCAACGGGTATGGACGGTCGTGGGCACATTGGCTCTTGCAGTTCGACGCGGTTCCCGTCGTCCCGATTTACCTCCCAGACGTCGACCAACTCTATTGTTTTCGTCAGATCACACAATTTGACTCCGACATGTTCTGCCAACAAGAAGCTCGCCTTCGCCGTCTTTCACACAAGCATGGCATGGAACTGGATAAAACATTTAAATCCAATTCTCGGTTCTACCAACGACTCAAGTCGTCAGACGCAAAAATTTTGCCGGGCTTTCCTGTCCAGATTCAAGCCCAGGCTACTTTGCGCCGCTCGTCTAAAGGTCCAGTCCGCCTCATGATTCCCCAACCTAAGACATTTCGTCTCTTTGCTGCTGTCCAATTTGGCGAGGCACAACTTCGTGTCTTGGACCAACAGGGATCCCACCTTACTTGTCAAGTACTACATGGCCGTATACCCGGCCAGGGCGAACTCCGCCAAGAAATTCATGCATTCGAACTCGATGAAATGGCAGAACCTTTCCAAAACTACTGGTCTCAGTTTTGGAACCGCGATACCCCCCAAGATGAACAGACCGACCAGCCATGGTCTGAGATACTGGACTCTTTACGTAATCGTATCCCGCCCACCGCTGTCTTGCCTATTCAATGGACAGATCCACAGATCATTGCACAGACTATTCGCAGGTTGAAACCATACAAAGCGGTCGGGATTGATGGCTGGCGCGCCGAAGAGTTACAAGCCCTGCCAATGCCAGCAATTGAAGATCTCTCACACATCCTGACTTGTATCTGGCCTACTGGCCTCAGCACATCAGCTTATCGCCCGGGTTATTCTCCTTGCCAAGCGCACCCCTGCACTTTCAATTACAGATGGTCGTCCTATTGCCATTCTCGGCTATATCAGCCGTCTCACCTCCAAGATCGTGGCCGACCAACTTCTCGCCCACTGGGCACAAGCGTGGCCTAGTGCCATTTCTGGTGGTCTCCCCTTTCGCGGAGTGCAGGATATCACCTTCCTCCAACAATTCCAAATCGAGCAAGCCAAGAAACGTAATCAGCCTTGGCGTGGCTTTACCTTAGACTTGATCAAGGCTTTCAACCTTTTGCCCCGTCGCGTCCTTTATCATTTGCTCATCCATCATGGTGCTCCTCCAGAATCCATTGATTTCTGGTTTCTCAACCTCCAACGCCTCACACGCCGCCTCCAGATTCGTGGAAACATCGGACCACCTATGACCATGACTACTGGGGTCCCAGAAGGTGATAGTCTCTCTGTCTGCGCCATGTTGGTCGTTTCCTCCGCCTTTTATTGGACACTACATATACACCCACCGTGTTCCCGTATGCGTATGCCGACAACTGGTCTTACTTAACTACTAATCAAAGAGACAATATTCAAGCATTTCGCCAAGTCCAACACCTCGCCGAAGCCCTTCGTATGAAAATTGATTACTCGAAGTCCTGGGCTTGGGGCGCCACAGCCGACGCTCGTAAAGACTGGCTCCAGCTTCTAACCCTCACTTTCCCGGAGGACAACCCAGTCAAAATCCTTAACTCTACCAAAGATCTAGGTTGTATGACCCACTACACCAACCATATTGTCTTGGGCCACTTACGACAAAAGATTCAAACTGCAGCCCAGAGATGCCGCAAGATTCGATATTTTCCGACTGACCTTATCCAAAAAGCTCGATTCATCCAGACCGCTGTGTGGCCTCATGCATTCTTTGGAGCCGAAACACAAATTGTCGGTGAATCACATTTTCGCACCCTAAGACGCGAGGCGGCCAGATCCCTTGTTGGCCGTCATTCGCAAATTTCCAGTTACCTGGCTGTTCATGTCTTTACGCCTCAGCTTCAAGACCCACTTTTGTATGTGATTTCAACTGCCGTGACCTTCATGCGCAGGCTCTTTTACACAAACTCTGTCCTGGCGCAAGACTTCCTGACTGCAGTTGTTACTCACTCCGGCCCGGCCGTCGGCCCAGCAGGCGCCCTCGCTCGTTATCTTGAATTTGCAGGGACCGGGACGCCTTCGATCAATTCGGACTATACTGTGACGGGTATGGGCTTACCACATACACCGACAGATCAGCCATCGCAAAGGCATTCCACCTGTCCCTTTTGATTATGAAATCTTAACTCGGGCACTCCGCACTTTGTCCGTGACAGCCATCCGGCAGATTGCCTATAATTTAACTGGAGGCTATCAAGTGGGAGCCGTCAAAGCACAATGGACCACCAAAGTAGATGCAAATTGTCCCTTTTGCGGTCAACTTGACACTCATACCCATCAACAACTGCTTTGTCCAGAGTTCGAGCAGGTTCGCCAGCGCGACTTACAGGCTATTGCCTACCTGACACAACACCCGGCCAAATTGTGGTTACCCTTACCGCAGTCTTTCCCGGACATGGCCACCCTGCGCCAACTGGTTTCATACCGTGGAGAAGATACGGGACATACAATCCTCCACCAAGGGTCGCAAGTGTTGATGTTCTATACGGATGGGTCAGCCGACACCCCCCTTCACGCAGAGACCCGCCGTGCCGCCTGGTCAGTCATTCAGTATCAACCGGAGTCGGATACCCAGCCATTTCTGACCATCAAAATTCAACACGTTCAAGGCAGTCAATCTATCGCAAGAGCTGAACTTGCCGCAGTCACCTGGATCGTACAACACGTTGCTGCCAACAGATGGACCCAGCCAGTCGTGATTACCACCGACTCCCAGTATGTGATTGATACCATCACGCACATCACAGGAGACAGTGTCATCCCTCCCTGGCACCGCCTCGCACATGCCGATCTCCTTCAATCACTCTCAACACATTGGAATCCCTCACTATTCTTGCTTCGCAAAGTCAAATCCCATCAAGATATTTCCCAATTACCGCCAGGCCCGATGCGTACTGATGCCATAGGTAATTCATGGGCTGACCACGCTGCCGTGAAGGCTCGCCAAACAGACCACCACCTTGTGCGCCAAATCTTCAAGCAAGCCCAAAACTGGCATCGAGACCAATATACTCAGACAACCAGCATTTTGGCTTACCTCGCTGATCTTAATCTACATCACCTTCAACTTAAGCAGAAATCCTCTAGTGAGACGCAACTCGACGGCACAGGTGATTCACAGGATAATGCATGGGGCCTCATTTTCCGTACTCGGGAAACATACCAAGTGCCACCGCCGGGACAAACATTTCGGCCCGTAGTCCATCCTGCCTTTCTGACAGCTTGCGTATGGGGCAATCAATACGCCGATCTCATTTTGCGATTTTGCGCAACCCTCCGATGGCCAGCAGACGATGCCGCCTACTCGGACCCAACCATTGCCGCAGGCATCACATGGCACGAACTGGCCCTGGCCTTTATTGTCAATACAGGCCTTCAGCTTCCCACTTGGATTAAGCCCACAGCAGAGCAACGTGCACAACCGGTACACTGGCAAGATCCCCGTGTGCTGGCCCTCCCTGCACATCGCCGCTCACTTCGAGAACAGGCCGAAGCCTTTCGTACCATTGCGTTATACTTACAGAATTATTCCAGTACACCGCTTTCGCCAGTTTATTCTAAAAAAGGCTCCCTTAGTCTCACACAAGTCGGCTGGGGACGTGCTTACACGGGCGGATTCCCTCTTCGGCCCGATTTCCCAAATCCGGTGGCAGTCCAGCGCACGCTCATTCGTTATGCCGCCGACTTAAATTGTAAACCACCCTACCATCCAGATGGTCTTGTCCCAATGAACTACATACGGCCGATCTTTCCTGTTGTGGATGCCATTCCTCTCACGTTCGAACAGCGCTTTCTCTATCGTCGATATCTTCGTCAGTGTTGGAACCGTCATGGAGACTTGGACACAGTGTCCATCCCACCCGCACCGAAATAGTAATTTGTACACACCTTGTCCTATGCCGCGCGGATATTCGTTTTCACGTAGCTAGGTTTGTGCAGCCTTTTCATTAGCTGGTCACCATTTCACATTCACCACACTCCCAGATACCCCCTACAACAGGGAAGGATCTTGGGAAGCGCATAGACAGAGCGCAAGTTTCGGGAGTAGCGATGCCAGAGAGCCCCTAGTAGCGTCCTTGCTCCTAGTAGTATGGCCACGAGCCCC